CTGAACTAGTTCTGCTCACATTTAAACGTGTTTTAGGAAAAATGTGGGAAACAACAGTAGGCAAGATTGCATCATAAAATAATTAGGCTTTGATTAGTCATTATGAGGGCAAAAGTTCTTTTTTATGAAGTCCTGAGGCTTAAACGAAACCTTGTGTAGTCTTAGTGAAGTCATCAGAGTCACTGCCCAAATTACTCTGTGAAGTTTGGGGTGACATATCCTAATGTCTTCCCATGAGTTTTCTCAGTTCTTGCTATCTTAAACATGTTTTAATCACCTGGATGCCTTTAAGCCTGCTTCCGAGACTGTTAATAATTAATATCGGCATTTGAAGTTTCTCATGGCCATAACAGGAGTTTTCCTTCAAGATGAAGTGTCCCATTCATTCCTGAAGGGCCATTCAAATCCAGGACAGATGAAGAGGAATAAGTTATGCTTCAACCTGTGCTTTGTTCTCATACAGAGCTCATATAGAAGGGGAAGATAACTGAGACAACAAAGGGGAATATAAAATATAGTACATAGAGTGCTTATATTTTACATAATGCAATATAAAATATTTGTATGAATATAATCTTAATCTACCAATTCACGTGCTTTACAGTTGGGAGATTTAACTAAATAAGCTGTGAAACTAAAATATACTTACTACATTTTGTGTAATCTCGTTTCTCTTCTGCCTGTTACTGGAGTGAATGTCTCCTTATGCAGTGATGATAACTTTTGAAACTGCAAGTCATTTGTAGGTTTTTTTTCTGGTTTTAGTCTGTGTTTGGATTTGAGCATCCTCAAAGCAACTCATAATTTATTCATTAGTTTTTCAACTGTAACTATTTAAAGATTATTCATAAAAGTCTATCAATTTATAACTAACACACTACCTTAAATGTGAACTTAACTTAAAAGTGAAATTGTAAGTTAAATGAACACTAGGTTTATGCTTCTGTGAACCTGAAAGGTGACGTTTGGATTGAATGTTAGATATATGAGCATCGTATTAGCAGTGCCAAACTGAAAGCTAAGGACCTGATCCCACTGCGACTGACTTTGCTGAAATTCCCAGGGTTCCAAAGTGGGATTTAAACCAGACTTACAGGCAGGCTTTGGCTAGAAAGACAAAGAACAGATCATGATGGGCATTTAGTGGAGAGTGCCAGTAAGGAACAATGAATGGAAGGACTTGGGGGAGGGGAGAAATGACTTAAGTATTAATTCTTAAGTAAAGAGTGCCTGTCCCATCGCAAGCTGTTTGCAAAATTGGGAAGTTCATATTCATATGTTAAAGAGTGAAATGAATATATACGAAGTGGTACAAGTTTCCAGACCATGAAAGGACTATGAAAGTGAGTGTACTGTTGGCTGTCTAGATATACCTGAGCAAGTGCAGAGTGTGAGCAGAAACCAGGCGACTAAGACCACTAAATTTTACGGATCCCTTGTGTAACCTGTTCTTGTTCCCTGTAAATACCTTTCAGGAGTGGGAAATGAATCACTTTGGCATTGGAAATAACCTCACAGTATTGCTCTTGGAAGGACTTAGAACAGCATTCAAAATTTCAGAGGCACAGAAAGGATGTATTTGGCTAATGAAAAGAGAAGTTTACAAATCCAGATTGTCCAGGGAACTCCAAAGCAAATTATTTTATACTTGTAATACAGGGCAGGAAGCCATTTTCTTGAAGTGTCACCTAGAAAGTGTGATGTGAACTCCAGTTGTGCTGGAATGCATAATACTGCTCTTGTTTAACCTGAGTCTTTTCCTAGTGAAAGAAAGAGGTGTGGTTAAATTTATTTCCTTGAAGATGAAGAGTAAAACTATAGAGATGAGTAGTGAGTATTCATTTCTGAAAGACTAGAAAATCCATGTAACCAATGTCATCTTTGTCTCATTCAGTGTTCATTCATCAAATTTGAGTATATGCTACTCTAGTGTTGACAGCCAGTCTCCACTACCTGTTGGTACCATCTCTAGAAGATCTGAGCTATTAATTTGATTCGGAAAGTCACTGAGTCCAGATGCTACGCTTTTTCCCAGTTTTCTTTTTTGGGAGTAGGTAGGAAGTATTTTGAAGTGCTTGTTTTTACACTGAACTTGAACTGCTTGCAGAGTTGCTGTGATTTGTGAATTCAGCAAGGCTGAATGCAGTGCTTTTAATAAGTAGATATTTGTTGTGCTTTTAATAAGAAAAGCCAAAGAAATTAAACCTAATTGATAATTGCCCTAATACAATTGTTTGACTGCAGTGGATCACTGTGTAGGAGGCAAAGCTGTTTCAAGGAAAATGCTTGTACTCAGGGGAACGCTTAAGGAGTTGTTAGAGGAGTTGACAGGCACGTGAAATTGGAAATTCAGGTACACTCCCAGTGATCTTGTCAGAGATTTATTCTCACACAACCCTAGTGCTGACTGCTTCTGCAGGAGGAAGAAAGAGGGGGATTAAAGATGGGGATTAAAGTTTTCTTTTTTGTCTTTAATCAGAATAAGTAGGTTTGGTTTAGAGGTTAGTATAGAGATGTATGATGATTCAGATATCATTGAGAACTGTTAGAATTATACACATAAGATGAATTTCCTGGTTTTATTCTTCTCTGAGGAAAACTTTGTAAGATTGTCTTCAGAAACATATTAATTATATTCTCCTTTGTCATAAGGCAAAAATGAGCAGTGATAACAACAGTGTATTCATAAAAGGAAGATGGCCTCTGAGAGCCAAGAGGTTTGGAGGGATGGGGAAGAAGGAGAAGAAAGCAATGGCTGGAGGTTTTTGGCACCAGTAGCTTTTTTGCTCTCTTCTCCTGCATTACCTATGAGTAGTAGCAAACTTACTTTATTTTAAAATTGCTTTAATGTCAGTGCATGTTTCTCTGCCACAAGGCAGTACCTCCCCCTGTTCTTTGGCCTCCATGTTTCATGCAGGACTTTAAGCATTATTCCTTCTGAAGTCTTTTCTGAAATTAAGCATTCCTGGGTGGAGAACATTGCATGTAGTAAAAATAAGATATAAAGCTTTCAATCCGTGATTACACAAGCCTGTTTCAAAATACAAAACTGTGTACATCTTGTGTTGTCCTGACGTGTAAGAAACTCGTCGGAACAGTGGGTAAAAGGCATTGTCTGTCCGTGCTCTTGTAAGGTGTCTTGGTTTGTGAAACCTTATGACAAAGACGTTGAATAAATCTGCTGTTTTCCACTTTGATGCCACTGCAGTTACTCTGATCTATCAGCTTGCTGAGCTTCTCCGCAGAGTGTGAAATGTGTTGATATTAGTAGCTTTCCATTGATTTCAGCATGACTAACAACTCCTGAGAGTAACTTGTTTCATTGAACTGATTCTGGTAATAACCATGGAGAACAATCCATTGCAGTCTTTCATCGAAGGTCTAGTTATGTCAGGGGGAGGTGAAGCCTGACAATAAAGCTGAGAGCTGCTCTTTGCAGTACGTGTGCAGTGGGTGTTCACGCAGGAGCAGGTTTCATGTGCAGGCAAGTACCTGCAGTAAACCAATTAACATGTGTACATTGGCTGTTTTTGCAAAATGCTGTTTATGTCTTTGTACAGCAATGTGGTCTTAAGCTCCGCTTTTCTTTCCCTTTTACTTTAGTAGGTTAAGGGGAAAAAAAAGTTTTTCCACGGTGAAGTATTTATCAGCTACGTCGCACAAATGTTAGAATGCAAAGACCTGAGGCAAATTCCACACTTGCTGCAGCAGAGCTGCTCCCCTCTTTTTAGAGTCGTTGTTTGTGAGCTCCGACAACCTCGTACCCGCAGATTTGCTGAACGGGGAATAGTCTGGGGTCTGGCTTTACCAGCTTAGCAATCTCTTTGTTAAACTCCCCAGAGGGACTCCTCCGTTGTTCCAAGGCAGGCACTGTAGAGATTCATAAATCTAACTCAAATGCTGAGCAGCAGACTGCATGAGCTTTGTTGACTTTTTACTGTCCCAGTTTTCTAAATGCAGTAATTGAATTTGACTTTGGTAAACTACATCTGTTGCAGCAACGTCTTTGAGGAAAGCAGTAGAAAAAATGCAGAGGCACAAACTGCTTTTCCACTCTCCCTCTCCCTGATAGAGGCATTACTAACTGAAGCTAGGAGTGTCTTTCCTTTCTTGCTGTGAATGAGGCTGCCTTGCTGTAAGGGAAAAACTACATGTCCTTTTAACAGGGGAAGATGTCTAGTGTATCAGAATATAATTCAGTGAGCTGCTGTCTTTTCACTCCCGAGGTAGTAAGAAATGTGTTATCTTAGCAATTGGTGAAATATCATATCCATACCTGGCATTTCCTAATACCTAAAAATAATAGCACTTCTAAAAGGCAAATGTCTCTAAGTCATAGTTACAAACAGAAAACAATACAGGAGCTGGAACAAGATTGAAACAAGGTTTTGTTTCACGTTGCATCTTTGAGTTCTCTCTGTAAATCTTGGGTTATTAATTGTTCGTGCACCATTGAAAAAACCTAGGGTGAATTCACTGTGATTTTTGCAGTTAAATTGTGAAAGGTTTGAGAATTCCCCTGTGATGTCCACACAACATAGTTCAGCATGGGATAAACTGTGCTTTTTGTGGTAGGAGGGGATAAGTGATTGTATCATTCTCAACTATTGAATGATTTCCATCGAGACAGCAATAATGAAGGGTAAGTATTATTCCTTTGTCTGACAGAATCGTGAGGGTTGGAAGGGGCCTCTGGAGATCATCCAGTGTAATCTTCCTGCTGAAGCAGGCTCCCCAGAGTAGGTCACAGTTATGCTGAAGTCCAGTTCTTATTAATGTGAAAGGTTGCAAGATGGAGTAGAGAATGATGAGAGAGGGGCAAAAGGTCTCCAGTATTATCAAGAATAAACTTTTCCTTGCTTTGTGTTTTGGGAAATATTCTCAGCGCGAGAGCATGGGAAATGTGTTCTGCAGTTACAAACACGCTGAAGGTTAACACAGTGCATTAGTATCTGAACATGTGATGGGTTTACTGAAAGTGATGTTTTGTTGTTTCTAAGGTATATGACAGATGGTGGCTTGGGCCTCTACACGCGAAGGCTAAACCGGCTGCCTGATGGCATGGCTGCAGTGCGGGAGACCATGCAGCGCAACACGTCCCTGGGACTTGGAGATGCTGACAGGTAAGCTCTCACCCAGCAAATGCTGGGATACAGTTGTGCATTTAGTTCAAGTTGTATCCAGTGCATACTGGAACATTCTACAGCTTTGGGAATTCAGGTACTGAATACGTGGCTGTGACTTCTGCAAAGTATGTTAGGTTACGCATTCATGGAAGGCTCGGGATGAATACCAGCTTTGTCTTCCGGTTTCTCACTTGTATTCCCACCTGTTTTTCTGTGTGCATGATGTAACACAGGAAAATGTGAAACTTAATTTTAATAGCTTTTGAAAGAAAAAAGGCCTAATTCTCTTTTCACTTCCAATGATTCTTTCAAGTCCGGTGACTCCGCGTGAAAGGTCAAGGCCAAAGATCAACAATTAGGACGGAGGTTAAAAATCCATAATTAACAGTACTGTGATCCATAAAGAAGCAGGTAGATGGACAGTAATGAGCCCTGTATTCTGTTGGAGTTGAGATAAATGAGTTAAATACTTCTGCTTTTAATGGATTGGCCTGTAGCTGCTGCTTTCTCTTCCAAACACAAAACCTGATGAGTGTTACTGTTGATGCAGTAAGTGAACTGTATCCTTTTCCTTCCATGATCTGACCCTAAGATTTGAGTTACAGATTTGAACCAATTTTCAAACCATAAGTTTTGTTTGTTTTTGTTGTCTATCTTTCTGGGGTGTAGCTGTAGTTGATGAGTTGGACACAACTGGTACTCTCTTGATAGAGATGCATGCAGTAAGGCGTAATACCAGGGACAGGTGATGATGGAGAAGCTTGTCTTGCTTTCAAGGAAAGCCATGCTGTACTGTTTTGGCTTTCAATAAAAGAATGAAAGCCTCTCAGAGAATCTCAGCTCGGTTTTGATTATTAAGTTAGCATACACTTCCAGTTGGAAAGTATGCCTAGATTTCTCAGGAGCTCATATCTGTTTCTGAAATTTACAACCTAAAACCCATATTCAGCTGAGAGCACTACTCCTGGCTGCCTGTGGGTGAAGGCATTGCCACCTAGTGCTATAACTGAAGACAAACCAAGTATCATGCTTTGCTGCTGTGGCTTTGCTACATTAACCAAAGCTGTATGTTTATAATACAGGATTAGTCTAATGTAAACTGTATTATTGCTTAAGTAATAGTGATCCTTCTGAAGAGGTAGTCCTCCCCTGATAGTTCTGTGCTTGCTTGGTATATAAGCTGTTCTCACATTTTATTTAATTGTCTCCTTTCCTGAAGATGCCACCACACAAGGACCAATTACATGTGTTCTGCAAGAGGTGTTGTTTTTGTGCTTAAATGTTGTCCAACTTAAAATGGGATTGTGACACACTAAAATGCAATCCCTAGTTAATGTCAGCTATCTCCACATTAAAAATAATTCATTCAGCTCATACTGGGGCGGGGGCTGACACACAGTGAGGACTGTGTGTGATGGGCAAGTTAGCTGCAACAGGAGATCACAGAGAAATTAGCCTAGTGCAAGATTTGGTGATGTTAGTATGTGTTGATTTGACAGTCTTTTCATTTTGGAATGCAGGCTTATTCATCTTACGTAGAAGATCAGCATTTCCTCACAATAGCTCAGCAATTAAAAAATGGCTCCCCTTTGGTTGCTGGGTGACCATAATTTGCAATTTAAGCAACAGGAAAAGAATATCTTGGTTTTATCTGCAGTTTTACAGGGTGAAAACTGGCCTAAGGAATAGGGCTTTAATAAAACTGGTGTGGTAGTGTATTGCTTTCTTGATTCTGTGGAGAGGGAAGCAGGAGTTCGGAGGTGCTTTACCAGTGTCCGTAGAAACATGAAGATGAAATGTAGCTCGTTCAAAGCAGATTTTGATTGATTGCATGGGAGAATGGGCGTGAAAGGCCATGAACCTTTAAATATAAGGTTAATCATTAAAAAGTTATCAGAGGAACTTTTGCAGGTTGCCTGTTTGTTTTGTTTCTGATGTTATTAATTGTAGAAGTCTAGTGGTGAAGCTCTCGCTCTTTGGCTCTGGTAATGTAAAGCACAGACCTTAGAAGGTATATTTTCCCCTGCAGCAGGGAAATCTAAATGAGGCAATTTAATTTAACGCTTGATTGCAAGGTTAATGGAATCATTGCACAACACAGCTGAGCTTATTTATTCACTTTGAGACAATTTGTGTTTGCATGGAACAAAGGCATTTTTAATGAAAAAAGGCATTAAGGATGCCTTTTTATTTAGCTTGTGTTTTTATTTTATTTTTAATCTTTTTTTAAGGCTGTAAATTAGCCACCTATGGTTTTGCCTTGTATGTATATGGATGTGGTGTGTACCATCTGGCAGCTGAAGTTTACTTCATGTTGCCAGGCACGGTTGCTTGATCTGAGATCTAATTCTGTCTTGAAGTTCATCTATGCAACTTGCATTTATGAGTGCACACAGATAAGAGGGAAGAAATTTGACACTTAGTTTTGAGTAAATCTTTCTGTAATTACTTTCTTATATAACTTCTTAATTAGATAAGGTAATTGAGACCTGTGCTGACTTATCACATTTTGGTAAATAGGTCGTGAGGCTCTATTAACGGATATGAGCTTGTCAGGAGTAACTTTAATGCTGTAATTATGGAAAAGTCAGTATGATTTTTATTTTTTTTTTTAAGTCTTGGTGATGGAGTCTATAAATAACAACTTCCAAGTGTGATTTGCATGGACTGTTTCAGTTCTGTAGTTTAATTTGAGGCTCTGTGAATTTGAACCTTTGCATAGGAGGATAAGGGAAAAAAAGGTCTTCCCAGTTTGTCATTTTTAAAGCCCCATCTCATTGTAAGGAGATATCACATTACATGGTCTTTGTACTTTGAACAGCTCCAACATGTGTGGACAGTAGGTAAAACACGGGTCAGCTGTTGAATGTGGATAAGATTGAACTGCACTTCCAGAGTATTTCTATCTCACGGTGTCCTTAATGACAGCGTTGTCACACTGAAGATTCTGCAGTTCAAACGAGAACAAAATCAGTTTAATTGCTAACTTGTGGCTGAAACCAGCTCCAGGTGGTCAGCAGCATTTCCTGCTCACGGCAAGATTCTTGGATAATCCAGGTGAGAATGGAGAATGTGAATGGGACAGAAAAACTGAGAGCGAAACAGTAACAGAGCAGATAGCCAGAGGGCATTCCATGCAGAACGCAAATACTCCTACCATACTATGATTAGAAATGTTACTGAATGCAACATTTTATGTATGCTATCATTTATAGCAATTTCTACGAAAGGTAAGAATCAGGCTTTCCTAATATCTAAAGAGTAATACTTTGTTGTGATTTTACTTTGTGTAAAAACAGGTTACGGATATTTTTGTATCTCTTGACTCAGGAAATAGCCGATGCTTTGCATTTTCATGGAGGAAAAATTCTAGACCTCAGTATGTTTAAATTCACTGTTAGTTAATATTTTGAATCCTATTAAAAGTACAAGATGGCTTAAAAGAGGGGTTAGCGCTCAGGGAAGGAAGGAGATAGTTGGACTACCTTGGCAACTGGGATTACACTTCAGAAGAGTTGAAAAGCAAGCAAAGGCATGTCATCAAGCTGGGGATGATATTGTTCTGTTCTGAAACAAGGAGGAAAGTGGAAACGGAGGAGATGTCACTGGTTTTGGGAGGCATCAAATTTCACTGAAAGCAGTAAACTACAGGCACTGTGCTGGTAGGTGTCATGTAAGAAGCTGCATCAAATTGTCTTTATTGTAGGCAATGGTAAAATAGGAAAGTGTAACAACGTACAATTTTGTTAAGGTGCTCTTTGTTAGGCTGTGGATGCCCTGTCCCTGGTGATGTTCAAGGCCAGGTTGGATGGGGTCCTGGGCAGCCTGGTCTAGAATTAAATGGGGAGGTTGGTGGCCCTGCGTGTGGCAGGGGGGTTGGAGATTCATGATCCTTGAGGTCCCTTCCTACCCTGGCCATTCTGTGATTCTGTGATTTGTCATGCAGTTTTTTGCTAGGGCAAGACACCTTTAGTTATTGCGTGTGTATTTTCAGTTTGTCCCCTTAACTGAGGCAATGCAGTTAAAGCTAAATGAGGATGTCTGCAATTCCTGTCTTTGCAGACAAGGGGTTAAGTCCTCTGCGCAGAGAATATCCATTAGCAGTATTATCCCTTTACTGCCCATCTCATCTTTAGTTTTGGTGCTCGAGCATTGGTATCACAATGCGTAAGAGGAAAAACAGAGGATGTGTATCTGGGCTAGCCACTCAGACTGGAAAGCCTTTGTCCTAGAGTGTTAAAACATGAGTGGATTATATTTTAAGCTTCAGACAAGCATAACTCTGGTAAAAATATGTAGAAATAGATATTCTGGCATTGTAATGGCAGTGGAATTCCCATCATCTTCCCCCACAGCATCTCCTGATCTTGCCATATTCCCTTAGGAGAGTTGACGTAAGTGTCTGTGGAGTTCCGCAGCAAATAGCCTTTACAGGGAGCTTCACCTGATGGTTCGTATGAAGAGATTCATGGAGGGAGAATCTCCTTTCTGTCAGTAGAGAGGGTTCTTGTATCCCATCTACAGAGACGTCAGGAGATCTCAGTCAGCAGATATGCTGCCAAGCTATTACTAGTGTACCAGGAAGATTTTACAGTTTCTTCACCTCAAGAAAGCTCTGATGATTGTATTTGCATACAGTTTGTATGATACATGTGGTTTACAAACTCTGCTTTTCCCATTTTTTCTTGGTAGGCAGCAGGATCCCCTTATTTGAAGATCTTATATACTAAATCAGCATGGTTTTCTAGAAAATAATTTAAAAATCTGCAAGGTTTCTTTCAAGTTAAGAGACATGAAAAAATAAGTGCCCAACGACTCATCATTCACTGTTACTGTATGTGTGCTGTGAGTCACTGCAGTTTGTAAATACATGTCCAGGTATACTTGCTTAATAGCAAAGTCACGGGTGAAATACACTCATAACGGGTCTCTCTGCATGTTTGGATTTTAACTGCAAGTTAGGAAAACTAGCACTGCTTCTAAATATTCAAGCTGTA